ACAATCATGATGACATTCTACAATTAAATTAATAAACTTTTGATGTACTTAAGGCTGTAAACACTTTAAGCAAACTGTTCCTTTATGTGACATCAAAAAAAAAAAAAAAAAAAAAAAAAAAGAGATCAGCCACATCCCAGTCAACCTCATTTACAATTTCCAGATGTCTGAAATGGTCAGATTCAGCTCTGCAAACAAAAATATGAAAATATATACAGCGTAGAGATGTTCAGCTACCAAGCTTTGTAGCACATGGACATATTCTGTGTCCCAGAGTTAAACATGTTTCTGTTTGACTGAAGCACAGAACAAAAGTAAGAGATCATAAAGCTGCTAGCTAAAGCAAAAACTAAGAAAAAGTTTAATTATCCACATTATTACATGAACATCCTTTGAATCTTTACATTCTGAATCATTTTTCAAAAATACGTTAAGAAAACCACTTAAGCTCTGCGTAGACTGGGCCTTATTAAAGTGATCTGCGGTCGCTTAAACTAAAAAAAAATATTCATCAAATGGTCGAAATTCTACCTCTTCTACAACAGGTAGAATTAGTTTTAACTAATGTAAGAACATTATACCAGATATATACATGCATTTATCTGGTTTTAACTATTGAGATTTTCTGAAAACTAAGTACCACCTGAGTCAGCCACAATCTGCCTAGAATTAAAAATGTAGAAATGTTATCACACTAATGGTAAATTGTGTTAGCATATGAACTGTCAATAATCTGAAAAAACTATGTGTTTTTGTTCACATAGAGTAAGCAGAAAATGTTTCTGTGGTTTGTAAAAGTCTGGTTCTGATTCCACAATAGACAGCCTGATGCTGCCTAGCATATTCTAATACTTTCTTACACTAAAGCAAAAATCCCAGCAAATCACTCGTCCTATTTCTGCCTAATCACAGCTTTGAAAGTAGAAATTAAGAGGTTGACTCATTCTGAAGTAGTCTATTTCCTTGTTTTTGTGTTTAATGATGCTTTGTAGAACCAGTATGCTCTGTGCATATGTGTGGGGGTTGCTGTAGGTAGACAATCTGAGCTAACATAGCACCTCTCATGCACATTTTCTCCTCAATGCTGTAAACATATCACTTCTCTTCATGTTCTCTATGAGAATCTACATTATACTTTTGCAGGAGTTTGCAAAGGTAATCCCTCAAAAGGCTGCATGAGCATCAAAAGGAAACCAAAATTCACGGGAATATGAAAACCAGAAGTAAAAACAATTACAGGTAGTCATACAAAAACTGCTGGTTTAAGTTCTCTGTCCTGTTTCTTAAAAAAAAAAACAGGCCTCAATGTTCCAGGAAATCTCTGCAAGCAGAAAAAAAAAGCCTGCAAACACAACAGTATTGAGCATGACACTAGTCTCTGGCTTTTTCAAAGGCCACCTTACTTAAATTATGCAAGACGAAATCTAAACACCTCAATTCTAAGGAAACATAATCAATCGCATCATTTCCCCACAGTGGGGCAATAGAGGCATTACTTATTCTTTCTTATATTGCTCTTAACCGCAGACCCTTCTTTGGCTTTCTTTCCTCTCTGTATATAGTAAGATAGAAAGTGAGATAAAGTACTCTACAATGAGCTTGATATCATAAAACTCCACTTTGAGTGAGCTTGAAAACCACACACTGCACCTTCACGTCACCAGATGTTTTGACTTTCAAAGAAATGAGATCGGGGTATCAAAACGAAACACAACTATGTGAAGAAACAATTCGTCATTGGGGAGAACAAAAAACCTAAATCATTTTGGATGTTTCTACACAGAAAACTTCAACCTGACATAAAGGATGGAGATATATGACAGATGATCTAGAATATGTTCTGTAAAACTGAGAGCTAAAGTGTTCTTCCTCAGTGCAAAGCAGCAGCGTTTCTCTACCTTCTGATAGGCTGCTGGCGCTGCTGCTGACTAGCAAGAAACACAAACATATTTCTGCAACCACCAACTATCACACAGCTCCTGTTTAAAAGGACACAAGCAGCTCTAACGTGCAGGAAGTCTAACGCTCCCCCAACCCAAATGTAGGCTGACGTCAAGCCGCCTACAGCAGGAAATGAGAGGTCTGAAAGATTAGACCATCCGGAGAGATGGTGTGGCGATTCCATTAGGTCACGCCAGGTGAAAGCATTTTTGAACACAGGGACGTTTACTTTCTGTTTCTAGGGGGTTTAATTTGCTGTGTTAAACATAATAAACATATATCAACTTTTATTTCACTTGCATTTTTTTTTTTTTATGTTTTTTTACAGTGTTTTGTGTAAACCGAAGTTATGATGAACTTACTGGTTTCCAGATTGCATAGGACAGTATCCAGGCTGATGAGGGAACGATCCCCAGGAACCAGAGGAGCCAAATATTGAACTCTGTAACACAAAGCATAAAGGTACGTGTAAAAAAAAAAACATCCCCATTTTAGACCATCAGAATCCATTCAGTTTTAACCTTCAAACATTTTTAATTTGAAAATGTTTGAAGGTTATTAAAACATTTTTAACTGATGAATAATTTGACTTTTCATGATTCAATGTAAGTCATTAAGCCCAGCATACTGAATCCAACAAACAGAAGCCGCCTTCCCTGATGAGGTTTCAATTCATTGTGAGGATGTTGGAGAAATGTCCTTGTAATTTCATCTCTCCTTTAATAAAGCGGATGTTAGGAACCTTAATGCAAGTGAAAGATTTAAGGGAATATTTCTTGTGTTTTTTTTAAACTTGTGTTTAATACAGTCTTTCTAGTTATGCAGAAGCCAGAAATGTAACATTTATGGCAAAGAAAAAAAAACATTGATAAAATATTTGAAAGGCTTGACAAATGAAATCACTTTAAGAGATAATTAAAAATGATGAGATTTGGTAAAGGGAAGGAAAACTTTTGGCCTCTTCTATGTAAAATTTCAAATATCTCCACCGGAGGTTCACTTCCTTTTTCTATAGTTTTAGATGACTGATATTTACCACAGGTCACATGAACCAGTCCTAAGATGTGTTATATATGTTTACAGTTATAGGTATTTATGGTATTTTTGGTATTTATTCTCTTGCAGGAAAGTAGAAGAGGAATGTTAGATCACCACAGAATTTGACATTATGATGCCCAGCAAACTTTTTGCAATTATACATAAAAACACCAACAAGGTTTCTATGAGGGGTTCCACAAGGCTTCAATCTGAGGCCTTTATTTAGAATGTGCCTGCTCCCCCTAGCCCAGCTCACAGAACATTACAGCTTCTCTCTATGTAATAAATCAGATGACACACAACTTGACATTTTCCTGTTACCAACAGACCACAGTCCCTTACAGTTACTAAATAAGTGAACATAATGGGACAAAACTTTGTCCACCCTAAGGAGGGGAAAGATGGAAGGACATGTTTTTGTTTCAGTAAAGGGAAACATAGAGTTAACTTATTCAAATAGACTCATTGAACCTAATAAAAAGCTGAGCAGAACAAACCTCAAACAACGATAAACTTAGAGTTAGTGTATATAATACTACCAGAATCTAGCTGCTGTTGAATGTTATAACAGAAATACTTTTTTGTGTTTTTGTTTCAGAGCAATCATATTAACACTGTGGTAATATGTAATTAATCAACATCATCATAACTTCATATAACTGACTAACTTTGCTTTTTCAGCCAGGTAAATGTATCATATTTGATGTCAGAGTTATTCTCTGATCTCTGAGGTCAATAGTCTGTTGATGTTGTTGTTTCCCACACGGCACTGAAACTTCATCTGCTGTTATTGTACAGCCTAGTTGGTAGCACCAACACTAGTGCACCCAACACACAGCTGGAGAGAACAGCTGTGTGTCACACTGTGCCCCCCACCACCAGTTTCTAAAAATAACTCGGTATATTAGCTCAGTGACACTCCGCATAAATGAGTTCCTCCTACAGAGCGGTTTGTTGCTTGAAACCAGGTGGGCATTTCTATAAAAATGGAGTTTTGTGCCGGTCGGGCCATCTGCTTTGTGTGCAGTGTTAGTAACTAAGTTAGTTTCTTTCTGAAAAAGATATCTAACTACCATATTTTCCTATAGAGCACACCTCACTATAAGCCGCACCCACAACATTTTTTTGAAAAAAACTGGAAACACATGTATAAATTGGACCAGGCTATAAGCAGCTGATATCTACTGAACTGTCTCCCACCAAACCTGTAGGGGGAGCTCTACATGTAGCCTGTTTTAGTGGATAATTTATAAAAAGTTCTGATGTTGAGAGGACCGGGCAACCAGCGGATCTCCGAGGCTTACCGCAGCTAGGGCTAATTTTGGCCAGTCTGCAGCAACCCTCTCTCAGCATAGCTGTGTATGCAGTACCGCTGGCTCTAATGGCGAGTTTTATTGTTTTATTTGGCAAAATGTTCATTTAATTTGTGTTTATCTGACTTTGTTAATTATTATTCCCCCAAATGAAAAAGGTAATACTTTATTATTATCTGTAGACTATTAATAACAGGAGGTAAAATGCAGCTCCAGACAAGCTGACGTCACGAGTACACTTCTGTTCCAATTGACCCATATTTATGCTGCATGCTCCCGTTCTCCCCGAGTCCACACTATCCTGTTACCACACTATTCTTAAGAACAGACTTGGCGAGGACAGGAGTCCCTACTCGCATTCTAGTGACTTGAGAAATGGCCTTTGACTTCCTTCTCTGGTGGTTAGAAAAAATCCACAGAAAAGCTGCACCTTCTCATAAGGCAGATACTTCAAAAGGTGGGAAAAAGTAGCGTCTTATAGTCCTGAAAATACGGTAATTGATTTTCCCATATTAGTAACAGCGTTACGTCACTTGCCTTACGACTCCATTCCATCAAAGCAAATTTTTATAAGCATGTTTCCTCTGCAGTGACAGGCTGAGACCTGAGATAGGCATATGTGATGCCAACCGGCTGAGAAGCTGTAATGTGGGCGGGTGTTTGTTTAGCCCGACTTGAATACAGAGCAGAGAAGATGGCACAGAGCCACTGATGCAATGACAGCTTTTCTTAAAATAAAGCTATCTCTAAGCTCTAAAGGTTTCTGTTCATTGTGTCTGGAATAAAAAATACTTTATAAAAGGTCTCTTAGAGGCAACTGCTATCTAAAGAAGCTCCTCACATCATCTCACTGACTAACAGCTTGCTGCACTTATAAACACGTTCTCTACTTTATATGTGTAATACTGATTTGTCTTCCATGAGTTATGCTTTTCCCCAAACAGAAGAGCTGGGATTATAAAGTTAAAAATATTATACAGTATAGTGTAACCAACCTCCATACCTATTCTATAGCAAGTTAAATGAAGTAAAAGTGCAAAAATATCAGTTCTAAAACATTTTATTGTTCAAATCACCATAATTATATTCCAACTCACTTATTCATCCACACACATTTTTAATCAAGGCTTTCAGATAAGAAGTACTATTAAAGTCTAAGGGAAGCCGCTGTTCCAATGGTTGCATTTCCGACTTCTCCCGAGTGGTGCCAGAATTTACATGAGTGAATAAAGTGAATGTGACTGGTCGATTATCAAGGGCGGGATTATTCTGGTGGAAGGTTTGCAAGCAAGATTGTGGCCGGTGTCTCGGAAGCATCTTGCTAACCAGTTAGCAACTTAGTGCTAGTAAGTTCCCAATGGGACATTGGGACCAAGTAGAACTTAGCAACGACACTGTCAAGGAACGCTATGGACAGCGGAAACATGTAGGGGGCAGGAGAGTTCTGTGTTTGAGGTCGTGGATGAGTCTCCTCCGTCATACATTTTTTATTTAGAGGAGGAGATGTTGTGGAAGAGGACGCCAGTGCGGCAAAAGCTTGGTTTGGTGTAGAAGGCTTCCAGCCGTACATGTTTGAGCCCTTGCCTCGCAAGGCTACCAGTTCTGTTAGCTCTACGCCTGCTGAAGATACAGAGGTCAATCTCCGTAAACACTGGTAAGTTACTAAATGGTAAAGTAAATTATTCTTATTCGTTATTTCAACCGTTGCGTATATAAGCTGCGACATATGAATCAAGAAGATATGAATGAAAACATTTGATTGACGGATGACCTTTGATATACGGTTAGTCAAATTTAGGTGTTCAGGCTAACTAACTGGCGTGAATAAAATAACGAAAAAAAAAAAAAACAACAACACAGATTTTAAGACAGGATTTTTTTTTAAATAGAAACTTTAATTTAAACTTAAGAATTTAGTAACTTTTGGGACAATATGGTCCGATAAAGAGTACATTTATATACATCTTTAAGCCAGTATGATTTCAAATGTAAATATGATTTCCCTACAACTTTAATTATGTAATTCATTAATTAATAATAAACATTCTATATTCCAAAACGGAACCTCCTGTGTTCAGAGCTCAAATAACAGGAAGAAGGAATTCTTCAACATAGATCATAAAAAGTAACTACATCGTTACTCTGACTAATAACTAGTTACTTTGAATGAGCTACTTTTTTAGAGAAGTAATTATAACTAGTTACTTTTTAAAGTAGTTCCTAACACTGCTCTTGGACAGCATGAAGAGGCATTGCAGATATCTCCATTTATAGTGTGCTTGCTTTTACCAAGACCTTCAACTAAACGCAGTAAAATGAACGCTGATGAACGCTCCTTCGGCTCAATCCAGCTCAATGCCTCCCAAAATCCTAAAGAAAATCAATAAGACCTGCGACACAGAATCACAACTTGCTAGCACAGGTAACATGGCTAACACGGAGCTAGCTGTTGAGCTGCCAGAGGTTAGTTGGACCGCCACACTCGATCCTGCTCTACGCCAAGTTATTGAAGAAATCACAGGGAACATTTAATCAGTTATCTCCCAGAAGGTAGATATTCTGACTGAAATGCTCAAGAGCCAAGCTATGGAGATAAAGGAGTTGGTCCAACACACAACAAATGCGGAGGACAGGACTGCAGCTCGAGAGGACAGCCTGGACCAGGCTACAGCACACATAAAAATGTTGGAAAAAGAAGTACTAACAATGGCTCAGCCAATTGATGAAATTTAAGATAGAGGCAAGAGAAAGATTATTCGGTGCTTGGTTTAAAAGAGGGCTTTGAGTCTGGTCCCGGAGCCCTAACTTTCTTCAAAAATTAGCTGCCTGAATTCCTACAAATCGAGACCAAGAGCGGCCGGATTAAGCTCAAAAGGGCACACTGCACATTCGCTCCACAGCCCGGACTGACACAGAGACCAAGATGGGTGCTGATCAGATTCCATAATTACCGGGATGAACAGCGGGTTCTCGAAGCTGCACGGCGAGCGGGGAGCGGAGACCAGCCCTTGATGTATCAGAACTCGAGGATCATGTTCTTCCAGGACTTTTCGGCAGACACGGCATGCAGGCGGAAAGGATTCGATGCGGT